CTGCTTGAGCGGCCCCTCGCACGCCGCCCCGCCGTTCACGGGCCGCTGCGTGATGTTGCGCCCCCGCAGGCGCTCGCCGCCTCGCGCTCGCGACAGGCTGCCGCTGCCACCGCCGCCTCCCGCTCCGCCCTCCCTCTGCTCCTGCTCATCCCTCCTCTTCTTCCTCCTCGTGTTCCTCCTCGTGTTCCTCCTTCTCCTCCTCCTACTCATTTTCATCACCATCGGCGCCGTTCCAAGTGTCATACCCTCTAACGCCCCTCAAGGGGATAGAAATCAATCTGATGTAGTGACTTTGTGGAGCGTCGTGCTGACCCCTCCTCCTCCTCTCGTGTTTCGGCAGTAGATTCGAAAACGACCCCTGGAAGCCAAGAGTAACAAAACACGCTGGGGCTGAAACGCACGACGTAGGAATTCGTTTTTTCAGTTACGCACCCATCGTCAGTGGCCCAGCGACCAAACCCAGCAACAGACGGCCCCATGGCTCTCGCCCAGGTGCGCCGCATACAGGAACAGGCTGATACCCCGCCACGTTCCGCGTCAGGGACAGGCGTTGGAGAACTGCTGCAAGCCCAGGTTCTGTGCCAACTCAGGTGGCTCCAAGTGGCTTCCACTGGCAGCACGGGCAGCGCGAAGGCATGCGAAGCCACTGATGCCGTCACTTGGCTGGAATTCTCACGCCGCCAATTCAATTGGCCAGAAGTCTCGCTGCCACCTACGAACTCCTGCTGGGTCCTGTTGAGATCTCTCACCGCAGCTGCGCAGGCCGCGAGCATCCTCGCACAGCAGCCGCACCTCCTCCGACGAGGTGACGGAAAACGCGCGTAGCGTGCGATCCGTTACTCGGAAGACATGAACCTAGGGGGGGCCGGAAGCCTCTGGAGGTCTACCCCTGAGGCTCTCGACTGCAGAAACATCTCTCCTTCTCATTGGACTCACCCCTTTCTTTTTCCTCCTCCTCCTCCTCCTCCTCCTCCACCTCCTCCTCCTCCTCCTCCTCCTCCTCCTCCTCCTCCTCCTCCTCCTCTTCCTTCTCTTCCATAAGTATCCATATCCTTTTCCTCATCTGCCTCCTAGTCCTCCTCGGCCTCCTCCTTCTCCTCCTCCTCACCTCTTCCCCCTCCTCCTGCTCTTCCACTTTCCCCTCCTCCTCCTCCTCCTCCTCCTCCTCCTCCTCCTCGTCCTCCTCCTCTCCTCCTCCTCGTCCTGCTCATCCTCCTCCTGCTCATTCCTCTCCTCCTCCTCCTCCGCATCATCATCATCAGAATAATCATCATCATCGCAACCACCACCACCACCACCATCATCATCATCATCATCATCATCATCATCATCATCATCATCATCATCAGCATCAGCATCATCATCATCATCATCATCATCATCATCATCAGCATCAGCATCATCAGCATCACCGTCACCATCATCATCATCATCATCATCATCATCATCATCATCATCATCATCATCATCATCATCATCATCGTCGTCATCATCATCATCATTAGCATCATAATCATCATCGTCATCATCATAGGCGCCATCACCATCATCAGCATCATCATCATCACCATAACCACTAGCAGCAGAATCAGCCGCATCATCATCATCAGCATCACCGTCACAATCACCACCACAACCAGCAGCATCATCATCATAATCCTCATCAGCAGCATTATCAGCAGCGTCATCATCAGCATCAGAAGCAGCATCATGATCACTATTATCGTCGTCACCATCACCACCAATATCAGAACCACAACCATCATCATCATCATCATCATCATCATCATCATCATCATCATCATCACCAGCATCGGCGTTGTCGTCGTCAGCAGCATCATCGACATCATCATCAGCACCATCACCATCACCAGCACAATCCTTATCCCCATCCACATCTTCATCCTCATTATCATCCTCGTCATCCTCACTATTAGCATTATCATCATCACCATCACCATCATCATCAGAAACAATCATCACCTCATCAACATCATCATCGTCGTCATCACAACCATCGTCACCATCACCACCATCATCATCACCAGCAGCATCAGCAACCTCATCAGCATCCTCATCAGCAGCAGCAGAAGCATCATCGTCATCATCAGCAGCAGTAGCATCCTCATCATCATCGTCGGCATCATCATCGTCAGAATCATCATCGTCATCAGCATCAGCAATTATCATCATCATCATCATCATCATCATCATCATCATCATCATCATCATCATCATCATCATTATCATCATCATCGTCAGCATCAGCATAAGCATCATCATCATCATCGTATGCGTCATCATCATCATCAGCAGCCTCTGCATCGGCATCGTCATCATCATAAGCATCGTCGTCATCATCAGAATCGCCGTCGTCATCACCATCGTGAGCATCATCGTTATCATCATCATCCGCATCCGCATCATCTTCATCCGTACAAGCGTCGTCGTCATCGTTAGCACCATCATCATTAGCATCATCAGCATCGGCAGCATCATCGTTGGCGTTGTGATCATCAGCAGCATCCTAATCATCACCACCACCATCATCATCATCATCATCAGCAGCAGCATCATCATCATCACCAACAACATCATCATCATCATCATCATCATCATCATCATCATCATCATCATCAGCATCATCATCAGCATCATCAGCATCAGCATCATCGTCATCGCCTTCATCATCATTATCACAGTCGGCGTCTTCATCACCATCAACATCACCATCACAATCAGCATGCGTGTCGTTATCGGCATCATCATCATCAGCATCAGCATCATCATGAGCATCATCGTCATCAGTATCATCATCAGAATCATCATCAACATCAGCATCATCATCATCATCGTCAACATCCTCATCATCATCATCATCATCAGCAACATCGACAACATCGCCGCAATGATCATCATCGTCAACGGCATCAGCAGCATCATCAATATCATCAATACGCATCAACATCCTCATCAGCAGCATCATCAACATCATCAGCATACGCTTCCCCCCAGTTTCTCCATATCGTCATCCATACCTCTGTCCTTCCCTCTATCCCTCCAGCCTCCTCCTCTGCCTGCTGTTGTTCCTCCTCTTCTTCCTCCTCCTCGTCCTCCTCTTCCCCCGCTGCCTGTTGGTCATGCACCTCCTCTCGATCCTCAGTAACATCGTCGTTTACAGTCTCCGTTTCCTGCTCCTCCTCGTCCTCCTCCTCCTCCTCCTCCTCCTCCTTTTCCTCCTCCTCCTCCTCCTCCCTCCTCCCCTCCTCCTCCTCCTCCCCCCCCCCCCCTCCTCCTCCTCCCTCCTCCTCCTCTCCTCACTCCTCCTCCTCCTCCTCCTCCTCCAGCCTCATCCTTCCTCCTCCTCCGCCTCCTCCTCCGCCTCCTCCTCCTCCTCCGCCTCCTCCTCCGCCTCCTCCTCCTCCTCCTCCTCCTCATCAGCATCATCATCATCATCATCATCATCATCATCATCATCAGCATCAGCATCAGGACTATCATCAGCATCATAAGCATCAGCATCAGCATCATTATCAGCATCAGCATCAGCATCATCATCAGCAGCATCATCATGAGCAGCATCAGCAGCATCAGCATCATCATCGTCATCAATATCATCATCAGCATCGTCATCATCCGCATCATCAGCATCATCATCAGCATCAGCATCAGCATCCACATCATCATCATCAGCATCATCATCATCAGCATCATCTACCACCACCACCACCACCACCACCACCACCACCACCATCATCATCATCATCATCATCATCATCATCATCATCATCATCAGCATCATCATCATCATCCGTATCCCCATCCTCATCCTCATCCCCCACCTCATCCTCCTTCTCATCCTCCTCCTCCGCCTCCTCCTCCTCATCCGCCTGATCATCAATAACAACATCATCAGCATCAGCATCATCAGCAAAATCAGCATCATCATCATCATCATCATCATCATCAGCAGCAGCATCATCATCAGCATCAGCATCGCTGTCATCATCATCATCATCATCATCATCATCACCATCATCATCAGCATCATCATCAGCATCAGCATCAGCATCAGCATCAGCATCATCATCATCATCATCATCATCAGCATCAGCGTCAGCATCATCATCATCATCATCATCATCATCATCATCATCATCATCATCATTCGCATTATCACCCGCATCCGCATCCTCATCCTGGTCCTCATCCTCCCACGCATCATCCTCCTCCTCCTCCGCCTCCTCCTCCTCCTCCTCCTCCCCGTCCTCCTCCCACTCGTCCTCTAATCATCATCATCATCATCATCATCATCATCATCATCATCATCATCATCATCATCATCATCATGATCAGCATCAGCAACATCATCATCAGCATCATCATCAGCATCATCATCAGCATCATCATCAGCATCATAAGCATCAGCATCATCGTCAGAATCAGCATCAGCCTCATCATCATCAGCATCATCATCGTCATCAGCACCATCAACATCATCAGCAGCATCAGCATATCATCCGTATCCTCATCCTCATCATCATCCGCATCCCCCCACTCATCTTTCTCCACCTCCGCCTCCTCATGCTCATCCTTCCCATTATCATCATCATCATCATCATCATCATCATCATCATCATCATCATCATCATCATCATCATCATCATCATCATCAGCTTCATCATCATCATCCCAGCGTCATCATCGTCCTCCACATCTCATCTCAGCAGCAGCAGCATCAACATCACCACCACCAGCCCCACCACCACCACCACCACCACCACCCCACCCAAACCCCCACCATCATCATCATCATCAATCATCATCATCATCATCATCATCATCATCATCTCCAGCGTCTTCGTTCATCATCATCATCAATCATCATCATCATCATCATTCATCATCATTGTTCATCATCAGCTCCCAGCATGATCAGCATCGTCATCATCATCATCATCATCATCATGAGCAGCACCAGCATCATCATCATCGTCCTTAGCATCAGCATCATCAGCATCAGCAGCAGCATCATCATCAGCATCAACATCAGCATCATCATCAGCAGCAGCATCAGCAGCATCATCAGCAGCATCCTCATCATCGCCATCCTCATCGTCATTAGCATCAGCATCATCAGCATCAGCATCATCATCATCATCATCATCATCATCATCATCATCATCATCATCATCATCGGCAGCAGCATAATCATCATCATCATCATCCTCATCATCATCATCATCATCATCGTTGTCATCATCATCATCATCATCATCATCATCATCATCATCATCATCATCATCATCATCATCATCGTGGTCATCATCATCCGTATCCCCAAGCGCATCCTCAGCCTCCCCCTCATCCTCCTCCCCGTCCTCCTCATCCTCCTCCTCCTCCGCATCATCACCATCATCAGCATCATCATCATCACCAGAAGCATCAGCATGATCATCAGCATCATCAGCATCATCAGCATCAGCATCAGCATCAGCAACATCATCATCATCATCAGCATCAGCAGCATCATCCTCCTCCTCCTCATCATCCTCATCATACTCATCAGCGTAATCAGCATCAGCATCAGCATCATCGTCAGCATCACCATCATCGGCATCGCCATCATCATCATCATCATCATCATCAGCATCACCATCATCAACATCAACATCATCATCATCAGCATCATCATCATCGTCATCATCATCATCATCATCATCATCATCATCATCATCATCTTCATCATCATCATCATCATCATCATCATCATC